CAAGAGTTTGTTGGAGAGACCCATAGGGTCCTAGAAGGTACACAAAACCACCCACCTGGGAACCAGCACCTGAAGGACCCAATTTGCTTGCTGGTAGCATGGGAAGAGACTAAAAGTCTGCTGAGAGCTGAGCAAGTGGCATTGTACCCTCTTGGACCCCTCCCCCACATAGAGTGCCACAACACAGCAACACAGGTTGCTCCGACCTGGCCAATACATAAGGCTCTGCCCCTTACTACTGAACAGGTTGCCAAGACAAATAAATATGGTCCAAATGAAAGAACAGATCAAAGCTCCAGAAAAAAAAACAACTAAGCGGTGAAGAGATAGCCAACCTATCAGATGCATAGTTCCAAACACTAGTAATCAGGATGCTCACAGAAATGGTTAAGTATGGTTGCAAAATAGAGGAAGTAGTGAAGGCTCTACAAAGTGAAATAAAGGAAAATGTACAGGGAAGCAACAGTGAAGGGAAGGAAACCGGGACTCAAATAAAAGGTTTGGGCCTGAAGGAAGAAATAAACATTCAGCCAGAACAAAATGAAGAAACAAGAATTAAAAAAAAATGAGGAGAGGCTTAGGAATCTCTGGGACAACTTAAAACATTCCAACATCTGAATCATAGGGGTGCCTGAAGGAGAAGAGAATGAGCAAGAAGTTGAAAACTTATTTAAAAAAATAATGGAGAACTTCCCTAATCTGGCAAAGGAAATAGACTTCCAGAAAGTCCAGGAAGCTCAGAGAGTCCCAAAGAAGTAGGACCCAAGGAATCACATACCAAGGCACACTGTAATTCCATTACACAAAATTAAAGATAAGGAGAGAATCTGAAAAGCAGCAAGAGAAAAGGAGAGTTACCTACAAAGGAGTTCCTATAAGACTATCAGCTGATTTCTGAAAAGAAATCTTGTGGTCAAGAAGGGGCTGGAAAAAAGTATTCCAAGTCATGAAAGGCAAGGACCTACATGCAAGATTACTCTATCCAGCAAAGCTATCATTTAGAATGGAAGGGCAGATAAAGTGTTTCCCAGATGAGGTCAAGTTAAAGGAGTTCATTATCACCAAGCCCTTAGCATATGAAAAGTTAAAGGAATTTATCTAAGAAATAGAAGAAGATCAAAACTATCAACAGTAAAATGACAACAAAGTCACAGCTATCAACAACTGAACATAAAAAGCAAAAACAAAAGCAAACTAAGCAAACAACTAGAACAGGAACAGAATCACAGAAATCTAGATCGCATGGAGGGTTATCAGAAGGGAGGCAGGGAGAATGGAGGAAAAGGTACAGGGAACAGGAAGAATAAATGGTAGGTACAAAATAGACAGGGGGAAGTTAAGAATAGTATGGGAAATGGAGAAGCCAAAGAACTTATATGTATTATGCATGGACATGAACTAAGAGGCGGGGGGGGGGGGAATGATGGAGGGAGTGGGGGTGGAGGGGAATAAAGGGGGTGAAAAAATAGGACCACTCTGATAACATAATCAATAAAATGTATCTTAAAAAATAAATAGAAAAATATGAAACCTCCAAACCTCTCTCATGCATCCTCTGAAACTCTACTTGATTTCACCTTTCTAGATGTGAACACTTCTGACATTTAACATCACAGATTGATTTTGACTATCTTTTTGCTTTATCTAAATGGAATCATAGTGTGTTCTCAGTTGTGTCTAATTTCTTTTACTTGATATTAACTTTGTGAACTTATTCATGTTGTTAAATAGGTCTTTTTTTTTTTTTGCTGTGTTTTCTGGTAAATTCTAATACTGAATTTCTAATAAGTAAATATTCAAGTGTAACCATCACCACAGAATCCTCTATTGTGCCCCCTATTAACCTAAAAATAAAAGGCCAAAGTGAAAAAGCATTTTAAAAATATTTCTGAAGTACTTCTGAATCAAGTATTAATTGAGAGTTTCATAACAACTTATGCAATGAATATAGAATTATATATAGATATAGAATTTAGAATTTCTAAATTTAGAATTGGGAGGTCATCTCCCAATTTTTTCCCAGGTAGTTATTTTTTGTTCTCAGAACAATGGTACAGTCAGTTCTGGGTCACAGTTTAAGTCAAAAACTTATTGAGCTTAATCAGAAGCCAGAAATTGAGGAGTGACATGTTCTTAGTGAAGCTATGAGGATAACTCTCCTACATCTCCCCAGTCCCAATGTTCTCTCTAAAAGTAGAGCATTAACAATGACCTGTATTTTTACATTCACAATGAGTTGATTTATATTTCACTTTCTTCTCCTAGAGGGCTTAAATACAGAGTTTATAAAGCCTGATTCTACTCTATGTACTTTTTGATGGTCAGAGAAATCCTTGTAATAATATTACACTCATCTTTCCCACTGGTTGCACAAGGATTAAGTAATAAAGAGGGCTGTGAGGTGCCTTGCTGAAGAAATGCTTAATTGCTGGATGATTTAAGTGCCGGGAAAACCTGTTCTAATTGTTTTTCTTTCATTAACCATCACTAGGAACAAAGTTTGGGCTTATTCATTTTAAGATATTCATTTAAAAATATTCATTTAAGAATTAGAAAATGTGGAATCTCCTTGTTAACCTGACTGTGATAACAAAATTAATATACTTGGCACCTGAGTACTTGGTTATTATTTTATAATTGCTAAACAGAAGAAATTAATAAAGATAAAGAGCAATGGCTCCTCATTAACTAAATATAAAATTCCCATATCTTCCCACCTCAGGTCTGAGGTTAAGTGCAGGCTGTGTGTATGTGTGCACCTGTGTGCATGCACACATGTGTGTTATTTATTTTTTTTACATGTGGAGACTTTCTGTAGAAAATATGTATGTCTGTGTCTGATTGATCAAAATGAACTAACTACCCATGATAAAACAGAAACCCTGACAGAAAAGAACAGAAATGTGGTAAGAAAGAAACTTCAGAAGTTTTTCTAAAGGTATGAAATGTATGTCTTGACAACTGCTATCAGACATTGTGAAGAAAGTGCCTCGGAGAGCCATCAACGGTGACTCCAGAGAAGAAAAGCAGACCCTCTGACACAGCTGGCCAGATGGCACCAGCAGGGAGTGTCCTCTCTGGCATAGCTGAATGTCCTGAGTCCTTCTGGAATCACAGGGGGGTTGGAGAGTTAATTTGATTTTCACTTACGGAGTGGGGTCACTTTTACCTTTTATACAGACAATGACCCTCTTACCCTTGTTATGCTTTGCGTGGAGAATGATGAACAAAAGCTTTAATCTTTTTGAAGCCTTACAGTAGCAGTCAGTCACATTCTCTTCTGATCTAAATACCAGTCATTCCACACACACACTAGCTATAAAGTCCTTTTACAAAGGCTTATTCATTTTATCCTTAGAGCCTGGGGCAGGACAGGTATCACTATACTATTTACAGATGTGATGACAGTTGGAAGGGAACTGGGTGTGGCTAAATTATATCTCAAGAATCATCTAATACAGGTATACATCCAAACCCATTATCTTCCACTTCCGGAATTTTATAAACACAGGAAGCTTGCAGCTGCTAGGAATGGGGAAAACACACTGGATTTGAAGTTGACATTTTTTTCCACTACTTAGGTGCTGGGGCTGATGAAAAGTGATCAGCCAAAAACAGACAAACAGGCCACAGTGGAGTACAGGAAGGCAGGGATCTTCACCACTGGATTTTCAGGACCTGAATAAGACACTCTTGATTGCAATGTGAACCATTAGCAGTTGTCAGGTAGGAAATTCCCTACCACTAATTCTCAAATACTAGCACAACTGGAAGAAAAAGACAGCATTAAAAAAAAAAGCATAGAAAATTTGATAACCCCTCTTTATTTGGATCTAGAAATGCAGCCCAGAATATAAACACTGAAGTGAAACATGTTCTTTAGCACTAAGAATGACAATGCAAGGCCAACTCTTTTCTCCCAAAACATGGGGTCTGACAGTCCTGGGTTCAAATTCTGACACCGCTACTGGTAAGTTCTGCAAACTTGGCCATGTGACTTAACCTTTCTGTACTTCAGTTTCTTGATGCATACATTGAGGACAATTATAGAGCTTATCTCATTAGTGACTGTGTGATTTAAATGATATAGTATATATAATAAACCAATACCTGACTATTCTCATTATTGATATTTAATACATTTCTCACTCTATCAGATCCAAAGCCATTTTCTACCTTAATTACACTTACTGTCTAAGAGATTTATTTACCCAATAGTTCCTTGTTTTGTGAACTCATTTTCTTTTTTTTTTAAGAGTTTATTTATTTTTAGATAGAGGGAAAGGGAGGGAGAAAGAGAGGGAGAAAAACCATCAATATGTAGTTGCATCTCATGCACCCCTTACTGGGGGCCCTGGCCTGCAACCCTTGTGCCCTGACTAGGAATCAAACTGGTGACCCTTTGGTTCCCAGCCAGTGCTCAGTCCACTGAGCCATAACAATCAGAGCTGTGAACTTGTTTTCTTAATGAATATCGCTCATCTCCTCAAGTTACAGGTAATCTTTGAAGGGTGGAGATCTATTTTCTTGGGCCTTTTTAGAGTGCTCAGCACTCTGTCATGAACACAGTGGGTGTTTCATAAGACATTTCTAGATTAATGTCACTTCAGTATCCATCTCTAACCTCATTCCCACTTTCTCCTTGTTAGTGAGAGCTTTAGAGTCAATGGAAAAGGCCCAGAGGTAGAAGGGAGTTGGGGCAGAGTCCACTAGTATTTCTGGAAAAACCATGAATTTATAAATCAAATTGGCCTAGACTAGATTTATTTTACTCATTAGTTATGTCCTTGAGTATAAGTGGAGAAAATAACTTCTACCTCATGGGGTTCTTATTAGGGTAAGTAATATGTGTTGGCATGTAGGATGGACTTAGCAGGTGTTAAATCTTTTTCTTCTTTCCTCTGTATTTTGATGACATCCATGAAATGCAAGACAATTATAAATTTTCCCTTCCAATAGAGCTGCCATTACTAGGTTTGGACTATTACCAACACAATTACCTTTGCGACACCTAATCCGTGTTCATACATGTAAGCCAGATTGAACATGGCTTGTGCGTTGTGGTATTTGTGAGCTGCAATGCTGTAATGTGTGGCTGCTGTTTGATAGTCCTCCTTAGTCCCGTAGGCATAGTAATGGTAATCTCCAACTTTTATTCTAGCAAACGCATTGCCTGATAGAAATATTAGAAAGAGAAGATCTCAAATGATTCATATACATTTCCTAGTAACTCGACCTAATGAATATACTGTATTTTTCAGACTATAAGACACAGTCCCCCCCGCCCCCCAAATTTGGGAGGAATAATGGTTGTTAATGTTGCTATTGAGTTCTGTTTACATTTACATTGGTGAAATATTATGTTACTTATGTTATTAAATATTTTACCACATTTTTTGCTTCAAAAATTTTTTTCCTATTTTCCTACTCTAAAACCTAGGTGCATCTTATGGTCCGAAGAATACAGTGTGTGTGTGTGTGTGTGTGTGTGTGTGTGTGTGTGTGTGTGTGACCATATTAATATATATATGTGTGTGTATATATATATATACATATATATATGAAAAAAAATGTTTTAAAAGATTTTATTTGTTTATTTTTAGAGGGGAAGGGAGGGAGATAGACAGAGAGAGAAACATCAATGTGCGGTTGCTGGGGGTTATGGCCTGCAACCCAGGCATGTACCCTGGCTGGGAATCGAACCTGGGACACTTTGGTTCCCAGTCCGCACTCAATCCACTGAGCTACGCCAGCCAGGGCTTATATATGAAAAATTTTATACTCAGAATCCAAGAATCAGGATTAGATATAATTTATGGAATACAAAACATAATAACACTCACTGCTAGTCATCTTCTCTGTGGGGTAACTCTGATGGTATGGTATAAATGTTCTTAAAACATAAAAAAAGATTCAACATAAATGGTGAATCTTACCTTCTAATTTTGTGTTTTGAAGGTAGGTCAACTCTGGGGAAACTGGATTCCACCCCTCCCATTATCAGATTTCACTTATAATCTTTACTCTCCTGAATCATGTGTTTCTCCTTTTCCTAGATCAATCCAATCAGTCATTCAAACATACTTGGTATTTTCCATCAGGCAAAACCCTTTCTCTATCCCACAGTGTCTTCTAACTACTCCCATTTCCTATTTCTTTTACACTAACCATCTCCAAAGCTTCACCTCCCATAGACTCTTCAACCCACTCCAATTTAGCAACTGCCCCGCTCCTGCATTAAATTACTACTTTCAAGGTCATCAATAACCTCCATGCAGCCAAATCCATTGGCCACTTCCCTGTCCTTGGCCCACTGGACCTCTAAGCAGCACTGCAGCCATTGGATCTATCTTCCCAAGCACTTTCCTCTCTTTACATCAATGACATTACTGCTTCTTGATTCCCTCCTGCCTCAGAAGCCTCTCTTTTCTAACCCTTGCCTGACTTCTCCTCTACCCAAGTTCTAAATTATGAAATATCAAAGGCTTGCTATTTGACTCATTTTTTCCCTTTCTTCCCTCCCTTCTTTTATCTCCTTCCCCACCCCCTTCTCTTCCCATTACTCTCCTGTATCTCAACTCTTTCTCTAGGTTATCTCATCTAGTTCTGTGGCTATCTTTATGTTTACTATTACTGAAAGTATACCTGTAGTTCTGCCTCTTCCCAAGCCCCAGACTCTTATAATTGTCATATTGACTTCTCTACTTGGATCTAAATCATAAAACATTCAACAGAGATTCTTAACACCCTGCTATCCCCTCCCCCAAACAAAATCAGTTTCCTCCCTAACTCAGAGCCACTACCACCAATGTTCAGGGCATAAATCTAGGAAAATTATTTCTAATTCTTTTCCCCAATTTCCATCACCAAATCTATCCAGAAGTTGGTTCTACTTCTAAAACACACCTGTTTCCTGCATTCTCTTCCACATCTAGTCCAAGCTTGGAATACTATAATAGCCTCCAAACTGTTCTTGTATCTTATCAACATTTTTTCTGCACAACAGCCAAGGTGATCTTTAAAAATGTAAAATTTAATCATGTTATTCCCATGTCAAATCCTCCATGTGCTTTAGTTTGCATTTGCAATTATATCCAGACTCCTTACCTAACCTACAAGTCATGCTTCATCTACCTTCTGCCTCCCCGACTAGCTTTATCTCATGTCACTTTCTTGATATGCTCTAGCCTTTTTAACATTTTTTAATATTCCTTCAACACACTTAGCTTATTTTTGCCTTAAAATCTCTGCAGTAAGATTCTTCAAGTCCCTCTGCCTGGCATGTTTGATATTTCTCTGACTCTTTATGTGGCTAGTTTCTCGTAATTCAGGCCTCATCACAAATGTCACTTCCCTCCTAGACACCTTCTCTGACTACCTTGTGTCAGGGATCTGTTCAGCTTTCATCACAGTAGTTATCTATATCATCTCCATGTTTTATTTTATTCACAGCCCATATGACAGTTATTTTATTTGTTTACTAGTTTAGTTTCTCTCTTTCTCATGAGGGCAAGAATTTATAAGCTCTGGATCACTAGGATAGTCCCAGAACTAGAATGGTACTTGGTAAGTATTTGTGAAATGAATGCATAGACATGGTAGGAAAATTTTAGAAAATGCTTTCCCCAGATGTTAAGTATTTTAGAATCTTACTTTCCAATAAGCATGGATAAATTCAAGAGTAGAAAAATTCATATGACATTTTATGTTACAAGACTTCAGGTTTTTTTTTAAGATCTCTTAGGGATGACATCTAAGGGTCTCTTTGGAGTACATGGTTCCATCCACTAGGACAATGCTGATTGGAAAGATGAGGGAATGCTCATCTAGGGCATTCATCTCAGCTGTGGCCAATCCCTCTAGCACAGTCTAGGCTTGCTTGGAAAAGGAAGAACTCTCCTGTGTGGTATGATTTGAGGTATATCATGAAGGGCTATAGGATTCCTTCCAAATTCCATTTGGTCTAGTGCAATGCCTAAAAATTTTTGGAATTGATTATCCTGGGCACTGACGTTCTTTTAATCTGCTAGAATCCTCTATTAAAATGTAATACCATGAGCCATCTTTAGATCTTTCTGAGCATAAAATCCTTAAGCTGCCAGGATATTATTTATCAGGGTTTGCTTCCCTGGTGCTTCAGATGTACAGGTAGCTGGCAGTATGGTCTTATGGAAATGATGCCCAGGAGAGGGGTCTGCAGGATCCTGGAGAGGCAAGAAGCTCCAGAAGCCCTGAGGAGAAACCCACTGTATCTATAATTTTGCCAAAGGTACTTTCTTTTGACCCTAAGATTCCTTCTGTGCCATAACCACAAAAGGATAGGACTTCTGTACGTTTTTGAGCTGTATGAGCAGTAAGCAGAACCCTTGAAGCCTCTGAGAATGGAAAGCAGTGAACAAGTAGGGTCTCCAGAGGATTCAGATCCACCCTAATTAGGGAACTAACTGGGGGCATGTGGGGATCCTGACAGGCTACCAGGAGTCACTTGACAGTGATAGGGATTTCCCCTTCAATTATACAGTCATAGGACGGTGACTGAGTCCTGATGGTTCAGCATCCTCCTCACATACAGTAACTGCTGAAAGAAGCACTACCAGTGACTGATTAGAACTTTCATTACTAGATTTTCTAACCTCAAGTGAGCTACATCTTTGGGGACATTCATGCTGACCTCTCTTGTGACATGTAATTATTTTTAGCGGTCTGACATTATTATATTGGTGAATTCTGTTTAATATTAATGTTTTCTCATTATCAATGGCTCTTGGTGAAATTTCCACACCATTTCCTGGCTTGGAATAAACTAGTATTTGCTGCAATTGGGCTAATTTGCCATACCTGGGAGGTTGCTGGTATCATTTCTCACTCCACACAAGGTCTTTATTGCATTTAGAAAGAATAGACTTTTCTTTTTTAGGGAATTCCTCACTAAAATTTCATGGTTGGCTTGCTGCCGTGTTACCAGTTCACCTGGGTATGAGAAGCACTACTGTGACTTCTTCCTCTGCCTCATATTAGTATCAGCTGAGAAACATTTTTTTAATCCCACTCACTTATTGTAGAAAGGATGATTTGGCCTCAGCATGGGAAAATTTTAAGAAACTTAATTGGAAGTAAAATTACTCTCTTACTGCAGGAGAGTTCCTCATGTATACAAATGCCAAGTGACAGTTTTGCAGTATCTGTCTGCTCTTAGTAATATAGTTTTAGGGAAAGAATGGAATGAGACATAATGATGCAAAGCTTCCCCACTAAATGCTATGTTAACATTCCTTATCACATGTGATCCCTTCAAGTGGGGCATGAGAACTCCAGGAAAGGAAAGAGGATCTGGCCAGTTAACTCTTTTTTTTTTTTTTTTGATGGTAGCATGCTAATGGTTATAATAGAGATCTAAAGTTTGTAGTAATCATCAATGTGCTATTTTAAAAGAAATCAAATTAAGTCTTAGAGCCATGTGTATTTTTACCTACAAACTCATTGAGACATAGACCAATCTCTAATTAAATTCAGAAAAAGCTCAGCAAATGACTGAAGCCAGACCAAGAAAATTGGTTTCTTGAATAAAACTGTCATGTTTCAAACAACTGTTCTGCTTCCATAGAGACAGAGCCACAGAACAATTCATATGGTTTGCTAAAGTGAGGACCTTGAGAATACTAAAGAAAAGAAAGGTTTAGAAATGGCATGCAACCAAAGGCTAACCCTAACATCAGTACAATGTGAAATACCACCTACTTGATATTCTGCAACTCTCTGCCTCTGTACCCAAGAACTCAGTAGAAGCAAATGAGATGAATAATAGTGGACAGGGAACAGATAATTTATCTAGGTTCTATACCTTGAATAGCAGCTCGATTCCACAGGAGAAGTGCCATTGGATACATCTTCTCTTTTTCAATAATTTTAGCCTTTTCTAAAATAAAGGAGACATTCCATTAGGAAGACTTAAAATGCCCCTATAGTAAAGTCACATATGAATATGTATGATTAAGGAATTTTAATTTATCTTACTAGATTCCAAAATGAATGCTGAATTGCTTTGAGCTACTTCATAGCCCATTTCTGCAAGTAGTGCATATTGAGCAAGAGAAGAATCTATATCACCATCCTTATAGGCAAAGTATGCTGTCAGGAATTTCTCAGCCCAGTGTCCTAGTTCACAGACACCTTTATAGAGCTGTATATGGGAAGAGAAATCAAATAGATTAGTTAGCCAATATACTTCATTCCAGGTAAAAGATAAATGACATCATTCCTCAGGTCCTGCTGGCCAGCCAGACAAGGATTTCTGGTCTAAAGCATGGCATTTGCAAATGATTTAGGGTGAAGAATTAGTACCTTTCATGGAGACAAAGATTATAAGTGGTCTTTCCTTTTTTGTATTGAGCTGAAACTTTCTTAGGCTTATTTTATGTTTTATAATAAACTTTCCTGAGTTGGAGGCTGTTTGGCAGGACAAGACTCTATCGACCTCTGTTTTTAAACAAAAGGCCTTCCTGGGCACTGCTGCTCTGAGAAGGGGAGTTATAAGGCTGAAGCTGGTGTGGAAAGGAGAGAATGAAAGGGAGACAGTGCCTGCGGGTATAGGTGACATAACCATGAGGGAGCTGTGTAGAGATCTATGGGGACAAACGTCAACTTAGCTGAATAGCCCTTATGTAAACAAAAGAGGTTAGCCATACATAATTCATTAGGAGTTGGCAAAGGAGCAAATCTAAAGATAGATTATTATCTGGCAGCTTTTGAAATGAGTTTCAGACAGGCCAGATAGCAACATGGAGGCATTTATATTGGTGCAGTGGAAGTGTTTAATAAATCAAAGAAAGACATTAAGATCCTAAAAGCATTCTTTTGAAAAGTACATTCCTGGCTCAGGCTGAAATACTTCACTTTTTCAGTTGTCAACCAAATCATAACATACCTAAGGACCCTGCTTTTGGGGAAGAAGTTAACTACATTTTCTAGGCTAGATCAAGCCTTTCATTTCCTAAGCTGCATTGCCCAATCCCACTGGAAGTGCCAAATTGCCCTGGTGATTCGATTGAAGACTGAAACAGAGCTTCTTAACTGAATTCTGAGGGAGCTCTGAACTGATGAAAAGCCAAATGCAAGAGCAGAGGGATCATTTCTCTTCCTCCGTTTCCCAGCCTGAGTTACATCAGTGCTTTTCTCCTCTGACAACTGTCAGGGTACACATTGTCAACTGGAAGAACAGAGGTAATATCTATAAAATCAAAGACACCAACAATTTCAGGGCAGTATCACTTTTTCTGAAAGATAAATTAAAAGTACTTAAAAACATCTCATCATTTACCTCCACAGCAGTTCTGCATGATCTCAACACTCCTGTTCCTGTTGAGTACATCTCAGCCAGGTAATAAATGGCAAGGGGCTGCCCACTCTGAGATGCTGAGTAAAAGTATCTGAAGGCAAGTTTATAATCCTTCCATACTCCAGAGCCAGCTGAAAATGGAAATCATTCTGAGTTACTGCTTATTTCTATTTTTCATATTATAATCTTTGTACAGAATGGTCATAGTGATGCCTACTCTTTTAAATGGATGGAAAAAGCCAACCAAAAATTAAGCTGTTCTAGGGCCACTGTTTTGGGGGTGGGAGGTTGAGTTTGATTATAAGTATGAATATGGAAACTTTTGTTTATGAAAATATTCAGAAAAGCAAAGCACTGTTTAGTCTCATGAAAATATCTTGTCAATATAGTATAATAAAAGTTAATAAATAGGAGAGCAAATGGTGGTCTCTGAGGACCAGAAGCCTCACCATGATGTGTCTCTCCATCCTTGTCATACCTTTATGCCAGGAAAGCAATATAGCTCCTCCCAGTTGTAACTATGGAGTTTGCAGCAGGCAAATCCCAGCTCCTGAAGGTCCTGCTGGTACTCAACTCGGGCTTGGAGCTAGGGACAGCGAATTAACATACACCCAGCAGCTGGGACTCTGGTCCTGGCTCTTCTTTGTGAGTTGGGCACCTCCAGGGACTTCATTTGCAAAAGGAGGGACTTTCAGTAGTTGGTCCTTAAGTTCCCCTCCAGTACTAATGTTTCATAGCCTTTAGAAGCATGCCCTGTAGTGGATATTAGCAAATGCTCTAGGGGCAGATTGCTTGGATTTGAATCCCAGGTTCACTGTGATCTTGGCCAAGAAGTTTAACCACAGTACAGCTCAGTTTGCTCATCTATAATCTATGGGAAACCCCCTAGACATTTTGAGATAACTAAATGAGTTAATACATATAAAGACTAATAAGCATTAGCTATTATTATTACTTTTATTCTAGAAACTTAAAGGATAGATCCTGAGCCTGTGATTTGGAATAAACTAGAGAAATAAGGCCATCTTAGGTAACTCCCCAAGACAGTACAGAATAAGCCCTTTCTCAGGCTACTGTGGAAAATGCCAGCTGACTTTTTAGCCAGCTCTAACCTCTTGGATGATGCAGCCTACTGTTACACTAGCCCAACCTCTGACAGGAAGGTCTTAGTTTAGTGACTCAAGTATGTTCAGATCTCCTGATACCTGCCTTGACCATGCCCCATCTCAGTCCCCACAGAGATTATTACAAATCTGTATGGCTTTCTAAGAGCTCCTACACCAATCACTCTACCTTTGCTCTTGGAAGCAATTTTTAAACTGACAGCTCACTGAGGAAATCCTCACCTGCCTCTTTCCCCTGTCCCTCAGATATACATATGTATTATCTTTTTCTCCCTGCCTTCATCTTTGGATATGAGAAATCCCTCCTCTATATCAAGCATATAGATCCTAAAGCCACCCAACTTTTTCCAGAACCCCTTTTCATCAATTATTTCATCTCTCCCATGATTCATTAACCACCTTCATTGATTGGTTTTCTTTCCTCTGGAAAAAATTATACTCACATATCTCATCATCTTAAAATCAACTCCTCTTGGTTCTTGGTTCCCATCATGCTACCATTACATCTCTTTCCTTCCATTTAAATGTGCAGTACTTCAAAAAATAATTTTTACTCGCCTACTTCCTCACTTTCCACTCACATTTCAACATGCTGTATCTGGCTTCTACACCAAGCACTCCAATGACCTCACTAACATCCTCAATATTGACAAGCCCATGAATATTCAACCCTTCCCTCCCTTCCCTTCCCTTCCTTCCTTCCTTCCTTCCTTCCTTTGAAAATTGAGAACCAGGGGTGCTCATTCATTTACTCTTTCTTGAAAGTTCTATATTTGAGTTCCTTAAGATCACTTCCCCCCTACTCCTTTGACCATATGCCTTTTCAGTCTTCTTTTGATATCTGCCAATCTTTTTAATATGACACCAAAGATCACCAGATTTCTAATCATGGCCCTCTGCTTCACCTTCTAACACTCTCCTTTCCCTTGGAAACCTCAGCTGTTCTTAACAAACACCTACAAGTTTGACCTTTCTTGTGAGTTTCATAACTTGCTTCTGGGTATGTGTGTTGGATATCACAAGGTACCTCAAACTTAACCTTTTCAAAAGTGCACTTCCTGACTCTGTACCTCCTCTCCCATTTGGCATTCTTTCCTTCTGTCTTCTTTACATTCCTTTTCAAATTGCTATCTGAGTGTTCTATCTAAACCACACACACAATCCCTTGATTGGTAAAAAAAGAGTAGATTTAAAGATCATATTCATAGCACTTACAGTAGTACATGAAGCCTAATTGAAACTGTGCATTGGGCCATCCTTTCTCTGCAGCTTTCTGAAAGTATTTAAGTGCTTCAGCATAATTCTGCAAGATAATTACATTACTCAGAGGTGTATGTATAACTCCATGGTACAATTATCTTCCATTTTTTAAGAGTATGGATAGTACTTTATGTGATTTAGGCTAATTAAAATAGTACTAGAAGTATTATACATTTTATTTATTAAATTATGCTGGGAAATAATTATCTCATTTTTGATATAAACTGTGTCTTTTCTTACACTGACAGGAAGTTTTTTCAGATACTGGGGAAGGTCACTCAAAGACAGAGGTTATGCTAAGAAGATAAATTATCAAAAAAATTCTCAGGGTTAGATGATTTCTAAAGTTACCATTACATTAGGTTATTATTCCTTAGGTAATGATTAGGGTTGCTATTCTTGTCTCAAGGTTGTTCTATGTCTCTTTGGCAAATATTTCACTAGATCATTTTATTCTCTATTATGTTGAAATTATAAAGAAATTATTTAACTTACCACAGGAACTCCTTTTCCATAAAAATAAAGGAGACCAAGCCCATGAAGACCAATTGCATTGCCCTAGAACAGTTTTAAAAGTCCAAGTAAAATTCGAGAATAATTAATGGTAAGGACAATTACTGAAAAAATCATTTAAACTACTTGACATTACACAGTAGGTAATTAATCAAGGCAGTTTAATCAGGCAGTTGGCAAGTTATTCTGACCCTCTCTAGTTTCTATTTCATACCTTCATAACTCTTTTTTTAAAGATTTAAAAAATATTTTATTTATTTATTTATTTATAGAAGGAAGGGAAGGAAGGGAGAATGAGAGGGAGAGAAACATCAATGTGTGGTGGCCTCTTGTGTGCCCCATACTGGGGACATGGACTGTAACCCAGGCATGTGCCCTGACTGGAAATCCAACTGGCAACCCTTTGGGTTGCAGGTAGGGTGCTGAATCCACTGAGCCACACCAGCCAGGCTCATAACTCCTTCTGACTAAAAAAAGGTAAATTAAAGTCAAATCTTTCCTCCATTCTTTCATTCAGCTTTTATTTAGTGCTTGCTTTGTGTGTGAGTCCATAAAAGGCATATGGCAGAGTTAGGAGGTAAAGGTTAGAAGGTGAATACAATGATCCTTGCCTAGTGGCATGACTCACTAGGTAGGCCCTCTTAAAGTGATCATGTCAAATGTGGTAAGTCCTATAGTAAAAACAGATCAAGTGCATTGCGGGTACATGGAAGAGGAACACCCAAAGGCCTGGATGAGACTAGAGTCTGTGGGGATTGAGTAGTCAGAAATAGTTACATTTGAGCTAAGTTTTGAAGGGTATATAGGAGTTTTCCAGAAGGGAGAAGTCTATGCAGACATTTGTTACCTGCTTTGGTCAAAGGAAATTACCACAAATGCCCAATAACATTTTAGGGAGTGGGGATCTTAATGAGTCATTATGCATAATTAAGCATTGTTGGAATATGTTTCTTTATTCAAATTTGACCCCTTATAATATCAACAATGTTTTCTTTTCCATTTGATGGTTAATTACAATTTCTTTTTCTGATTTGTATTCTGAATAGTCTAGGGAATGGAGTATTCAGCACTTTAGCATTTAGCACATGTTCAAATATATTCATATTTAGCATATTAATCCTTAAAGAATGTAAACCTTGCAAGTAATTTCTCCATCAGAAAATTGACTTTTTCTTTCTTTAAAAATTGTTTTAAAGATTTTAATTTATTTATTTTTAGAGAGAAGGAAAGGGAGGGAGAAAAAGAGGGAGAGAAACATTGGTGTGAGAGAAAAACATCCACTGGTTGCCTCTCACACACACACTGACTGGAGACCAGGCCCACAACCCAGGCATGTTCCCTGACTGGGAATCAACTGGTGACCTTTCTGTTTGTGGAATAACATCCAGCCAACTGAGCTACATCAGTCAGGGAATCACTTTTTCTTTCTATTTTCCATCATGCATTTCACCCTGTGGTGACTTAGTGATGAGTCACATTTGGCCATTTAGCTTTCATTCACCAGATCTACAGGTTTGTTTTACTTATTTATAGTATTTCCTTAGGAACTTTAGTTCTAATAGAAAATTCTCGACTTCCGGCCAAGATGGAGGCATAGGTGGACACACTGTACCTCCACCCACAACCAAGATTGGAACAACAACAATTTAGAGGCAGATTAACACCTAGAACTGACAGAAAATTTATCTGAATGGAAGTCGGACAGCCAAGAAGTTGAAATAGACCCGTTCATCCAGACCAGTAGGAGGGGCGAGATGCTGTGCTGAGAGCAGAGAGAATTGGGTGCATAAGGCAGCCGGGAGCACATAAGGCATCTGGGGTGCGCAAAATCGCAGCGGGTGGACCCTGAGTATGCAAGTGGCTGCTGGAAGACCCAGTGAGGCGGCAATTGTGGAGGAGGGCAGAGCATGCAACCCAGAATCCCAGGGAAGGGACTAAGGTCCCATGAAGAATGGAGCTACCGCCATTGTTCCTTCTTGACTCTGCCCTCACATACAATGTCACAATCTAGCGATTGGGGTGCCCAGCCTAGGTGAACACCTAAGGCTCCACCTCTCACCATAACAGCAGCGACCAGTCCAAAAGAGAGAGAGAGAGAGAGAGAGAGAGAGAGAGAGAGAGAGAGAGAGAGAGAGAGAGAGAGAGATGGCTCAAACAGAAAAACAAATCAGGGCCCCAGAACTCATCCTTTTGAGCGACTAAGAGATAGCTAACCTATCAGATGCACAGTTCAAAACACTGGTATTCAGGAAGCTCACAGAATTGGTTGATTTTGGTCGTAAACTAGATGAACAAATGCAGGTTACCATAAAAGAAATGAAGGAAAATGCACAGGGAACCAATAGTGATGGGAAGGAAAGTGGGACTCAAAACAACAGAGTGGACCAGAAGGAAGAAAGAAACAACCAAACAGGAAAAAATGGAGAAATAAGAATTCAAAAAAATGAGGAGAAGATTAGGAACCTCCAGGACATCTTTAAACGTTCCAACATCCGAATTATAGGGGTACCAGAAGGGGAAGAGGTAGAGCAACAGATTGAAAACATATTTGAACAAATAATAAAGGAGAGCTTCCCCATCCTGGCAAAGGGAATAGACTTCCAGGAAGTTCAGGAAGCTCAGAGAGTCCCAGAGAAGTTGGACCCAAGAAGAAACACACCAAGGCACATCATAATTACATTAGCCAAGGTAAAAATGAAGGAGAGAATCCTAGAAGCAGCAAGAGATAAGGGAACAGTAACCTACAAAGGAGTTCCCATCAGACTGTCAGCTGATTTCTCAAAAGAGATCTTACAGGCAAGAAGGGGCTGGAAAGAAGTATTCCAAGTCATGAAAGACAAGGACCTATATCCCATATTACTCTATCCAGCAAAGCTTTCATTTAGAATGGAAGGGCAGATAAAGTGCTTCTCAGATAAGGTCAAGTTCAAGGAGTTCATTATCACTAAGCCCTTATTTTATGAAATGTTAAAGGGACTTATCTAAGAAAAGAAGATCGAAAAAAAAAGCATGTATAGTAAAAGGACAGCAAACTCACAATTATTAACAACCACACCTAAAGCAGAACCAAAAGAAACTAAGCAAACAACTAGAACAGGAACAGAACCACAAAAAATGGAGATCACATGGAGGGTTAGCAACAGGGGAGTGGGAGAAGGAGAGAGGGGGAAAAGGTACAGAGAATAAGTAGCAAAGATTATAGGTAGAAAATAGACAGGGGGAGGGTAAAAATAGTATGTATGAGAAATATAGAAACTAAAGAGCTTATAAGTATGACACATGGACATGAACTAAAGGGGGGGAAAGTGGGTGGGAGAGGGTATACAGGGTTGAGGGGAGTGAAGGGGGGAAATGTACAACTGTAATAACATAATCAATAAAATATATTAAAAAAAGAAAATTCTCCATATTTCTTGTTACCACCTAAATGTAACTGTGGATGGAGCCAGAGTACCCCTCAGTGACACAGGAATAGCACATAACTAGAGAAGGTGTAGTTTAAAGACTATTTTAAGACTCCAAACTTTGGGCCTGTTAATATTAAAGAGCCAGCTATTGTAAGAATTCTTAAGGATAGTGCACCTGAATTTAAAGCAGGTGGTATATGTATGTCTGCTCTCTTCTTCCTTCTTCTCCCCAAGAATATCTACTCGTGGTCCTAGGACTATTAGGATAGTATGGTTTGATGATAGTAAGGCCTGATGTGATGGATGTGATAAAATCTACTGAATCTGTCTTCTAACTATCCTTATTTAGGGGTTGAGAAAAAAGGAAAGGAAGAGAAATGAGAGGAGGGAAGTAAAAAAGAGAGAAGGAGAAAGGCTAGTATAGTGTGGACAAATTACTTTTCTTCTCTAAGAGAGTCCCTGGGAAACCAGGGGCTTATTAGATGACTGCCCAACTGATTAAGGCCCATAATACCTTTTATAACACTCAGGTAAGTAGTGGCCATGCAGGTAATGTAAGAAGTGCATTAAACCAGTTTATGAAATGGTGGAGCCCAAGGCAAGCCAGAGAGTGCCGCCCTGTCTAAAGGTAGTGGCAGGTCCTCATTATCTGCTCTAAGCAGTTACATTTTAAAAATAAATGTATATTTCAAGGGAACCAACCATATGGGAAAATATATTTGCCAATGATACCTTGAGCAAGGGTTTGATCTCCAAAATATATGAAGAACTCACACAACTCCACACTAGGAAGACAAACAATCCAATTAAAAAGTGGCAAAGGAGCTGAACAGACACTTCTCCAAGGAGGACTACAGAAGGCCCAGAGACATATAAAAGGATGCTCAGCATCACTAGCCCTCAGAGAGATGTAAATTAAAACCACAATGAGATACCACCTCACATTGGTCTGAATGGCCACCATAAACAAATCAACAAAGAAGAAGTGCTGGAGAGGTTGTGGAGAAAAAGGAATCCTCATACACTGTTGATGGGAATGAAGACTGGTGCAGCTACTGTGGCAAACACTGTGGAATTTCCTCAAAAAACCTGAAAATGGAACTGTCTTTTGACCTGGCAATTCCACTGCTGAGATTATACCCTAAGGATCCTGAAACACCAATTCAAAAGAACCTATACACCCCAATGTTCATAGCCATGCAATTTACAATAGCTAAGTGCTGGAAACAGCTTAAATGCCCATCAGTAAAAGAGTGGATCAAAAAACTGTGGTGCATTTACACAATGGAATACTATACAGCAGAAAGAAAGAAGGAGCTTTTACCCTTTGTGGCAACATGGATGGAACTGAAGAGTATTAATGCTAAGTGAAGTAGGCCAGGTGGCGAAAGACAGATACCATATGATCTCACCTATAAGTGGGACCTAATCTATAAAATAAACAAGCAAGCAAAATATAACCAGAGACATTGAAATAAAAAACAAACTGACAATGATAAGAAGAGAGGAGGGAGGTAGATAAAAAGTGAAAGAAGGGGAAGGGTCAAGTCAAGGAACACACAAAAGACCCATGGACAAGGACAATGGAAGGGGAAGACTGAATGTGGAAGAGGTGGGGTAGGCAGGACAGGGGAGAAT